GAGAATGTTCCATGTGCTGCTGAGAAGAATGTATATTCTTGATGTTGTTGGTGGAATATTCTGTATATGACCACCAAATCTACTTATTCACAGGTGTGATTCAGCTCTGTTATGTCTTTGCTGATTTTCTGTCTAGTTGATCTGTCCCTCTGTGTCAATGGCGTGTTAAGGTCTCCTGATGTAATTATGCTATTGCTTTTTCTGTTAATATTTGTTTTGTTTAGCTGGGTGCTCCTGAATTTGGTGCATGTACATTTAAGATTGTTATCTATTCTTCTTGAAGTTTTCCCTAACTAGTATGTAGTGAACTTATCTCTTTTGATCATTCTTGGTTTGAAGTTCACATTGTCTACAAAGAGAATAGCTACCCCTGCTTTTCGGTGGGTTCCAGTTGCATGAAGTATTATTTTCCATCCTTTGACTTTCAGTTTATGAGTTTCCTTTTGGGTTAAATGGACTTCTTCTATACAGCATATGGTTGGATGTTGTTTCTTGATCCATTCTGCCAGTCTGTTTCTTTTAATTGGTGAATTGAGGCCATTTACATTAATGGTTATAATGGATATATATTGGTTTATTTTTGACGTTACTTTTCTGCTGTTGATTCTTTACCTTTCCCCTCTGTTTAACTGTTGGCCCTTGCTTAGTGGTTTTTTCCTATGTCTATTTAGAATGTCTTTCAGTATTCTTTGCAGGATTGGTTTGGTGATCATGAAGTTCTTCAGCTGTTCTGTCATGAAAGTATCTTATTTCTCCATCCATTTTGAAGGACAGTTTTGCAGGGTACATCAATCTGGGTTGGAAGTCATTTTCCTTTAGGATCTGAAATACTTCATTCCATGCTTTTCTTGATTTCACTGTGTTGAGAAGTCTGCTATGATTCTGGGAGGCTTGCATTTATAGGTGATCTGTCTCCTCTCTAAACAGCTTCTAATATTCTGTTCTCATGCTGGATTTTTTGAATGTTAATTATTATATGTCTAGATGTAGTTGTATTTTAGTTATGTCTATTTGGAGCTCTATGCTTCACTTATTTGTATCTCAGTTTCCATTCTCATGTTTGGGAAATTTTCAGCTATTACTTCTGTAAATAGCCTCTTGATATCACTTGGATTGTCACTTTCTTTTTCATTTATACCTACCAATGTTATGTTGATTTTCTTTGCATCATCTTGCAGCTGTTGAATTGTCTTTTCCTGATTCCTTGTTATTTTTAAGAGATCTTTCCTTTCCTGTTCACTAGCTGCAATGCTGTCTTTGAGGTCTAAAAGTGTATCTTCACTTTCATTGAGGTGGTTTTGCTAATTTTTGATTTCTTGTATATCTGTTTGAATCTGCTTCATGCATTCTGTTTCTCATATTGTTCATTCAGGGTTTACATCTTTTTGCATTGTTCTTTTAATTTTTTCACTATGTCTTATTTAAATGTGTTCAGCATTCCTTTCATTACATTTATCATTTCTTCTTTTACCTGGGAGATTATTTCTGATCTGAGTTTTTTTATAGCCTCCCAGAGTTGTTTCTTTACTTCAGTTGCTATCATTTCAGGAGTTTCAGGTATGTGGCTTACATTTTCTTCTATGCCCATGTCTCCTAGGCTTGCTTGGGATGGGCTGGAGGTTTGAGATTACATTTTGCTTTTTCATTTTGTCATTTTTCTATATTCCCTTAGGGAAGACAAAGCCAAGGTCTCAATTGTTTCTTGGGTTGAGAATATCTATCCCTATTGCAGGGAATTTCCCCAGTGGAGTTGTTCTGAGACAGATCTTGCCAATGGCTCCAGCCACTTGGGGTTGCCAGGTGGGGTTCTTCCAGTCTCAGAGTGACATGCCAAGGCTTCCCCATGGGATGGAAATCACTATGTTCCCTTTTGGCTTGCGAAGCAGAATACAGGCAACTGTGGGCAACTCAGGGATTGCTGGGCAGGGCCCAAATAACCCCTGAGGGACCCTCCAGTGCATCCTTTGATGATGTGAAATGCTGGGTAGGCCAAAGCTTCCCTGTGGGCTGGAAATCACTGCACGCCCTTATGGCTTTCGAGGTGGTGGCTGCAGGCAACTTGGGGGTTGTTGGGCGGGGCCCACATAGGTCTAGAGGGACCCTCCAGTGCATCCTCTGGTGATGTGGAACCTTGGGTGGGGCCCTACCAGTCTCGGGGCACTACACTAACATGGGCTGGAAATTGCTGCATGCCCTTTTGGCTTGTGAGGTAGAACACAGGTGGCCACAGGCCTAAAAATGGTCTTTAATGTTCTTAAAACGTTGTGATTACAAAGAAAAGGAAGATGAAGAACCAGTATGTGGCTTGTAAACTTAAGTGGTGTATGCACTGAATTTTCAAAGAAAAAAATATTTGTCTTTGGTGGTGCTGGGATCTTAGGGCCTGGTGCATACTAGGCAGGTGCCCACAGCCTTAGGGTGACATTTTGTATATAGTTGGAACCACTCTGAAATTAAAGTTAAAACCTCTCAAAGGGTCTCTGCTAATGCTTCATTAATTATAAGAAATATAGTGCCAGAAATTATCTCAGTCAATCATGCTAGTATACAATATTTCTTTCTGAAAACTATATATACTGGCAAAATTCTTACATATGACACAAATAAAAAAAGATCAATAGGCTACTAATCTATCTTCTCAATGATCCTCAAAACTTTTTGACTCTCACCTTCCCTCACATCAACACATTTCAAACTCAAGGGGGGGTTATGCAAATATTCCAAATGCATAAATTCATCATAAGATTTTTGGTGCTCTGGACTCCTTTTCCCCATCCTCAGCACCACACACTCAACCCTTGCTTCCCTCTCCTCCACCTGACCCTGGATGCTGCTCCCATCTCCAGTTCCTTACCTTGTACTCCTGCTCCCAGCTCTGGCACCTCGTCTCAGAAGGTGATCCAGCACCTTACTTTACTAAAACAAAACCAGTGAGAATAAGCTCCTTAACTTCTTTCAGATCCATTTTTATATTTCCCCAAATATTTCTCTATATTGTAATCCTTGCTTTTGTATTCACCACCTCAGAAGAGAGAATCTCTCTCTTCCTTTTAGAGGTTCTCAAGTTGTGCCTTCTTTATCCCTTCCCAAATATTCCATGATTCTGCTCCTTCCAATCTTCCCTTTCTTGGATCCTCCAGCTCACTATTACTTCCTTCACTAAACCCTTCCTCGTTTCAGTCTTACCTTTTCCTGGAATCTAAAGCACTTCCGGGAGGCAACAGCCTTTCCCTCTCGTTCCCATTCAATGACAAAATTCTTAGCCTACTTCTTTCTTTAAAAGTTCTATTTTAAATGACCAACATTTTCATCATCAAAATTAATGGCCTCTCACAATTTTTAAGCTTTTCAATCTTCCTGCAGTTTTTGGTCAGATTCTTATATCTTTTTCTCCAATCTTCTGTCACTGCAACTCTTCTAGTTTGACTTTTCTAAACTCTCCCATATTGCACACTTAATATTTTTATTTCCTTTTATCTCTTAAAGTTTGTTTTCCCTAAGTGTATTTACTTAATGCCCTTTCTCTCTCCACATTGGTATTCCTTGTTAATCTCACTCAATCTTCAAGCTTTACCTATGATTTTTACACAGATGGTTTCCAAGTCCACAGTCTTCATTCCTGGATGACCTCTCCTCTCCCTCCTCTTCCTTCCTTTTCTACCTCACCATCTATCTACTCTTTGGAATCTTTCTCCACCAACTTTCCCCTGTCCCCTTCTCTCCATCTTTACTGTTACTTCCCTCTTTTACACCACTGCAGCCTGGATTCTAACAGTGGTTTCCCAATCAAGCTTTCTCTCCTTCTCAGTCAATCTCCAATCCACCTCTGGACTGCTGCACAGTACACTGTGAGTCACACTGCTGATCAAGTCACTCTCCTACTTAAAAATCATTCAGTGTACTAAATGCTACTGTGCTTAAAGTGGCTTATGTAATTTCATCTCATTAAAAACACGTTTTAAGCCATACTTTACAATATTACACCTATAATCAAGCACTCTAGCACTCTGGGAAGCTGAGGCAGAAGGATTGCAAGTTCCAACCCAGCCTAGGGAATTTAATTATTTAGCAAGTCTCTGGCTCAAAGAGGAAGAAAAAAAACTAAGGGAAATTAATGGTAAATTAATCAGTTGGCACACATAGCAAAATGGATCTATAAATCTGTTATTACTGGAATCTTTGTATTTAGACTATTAGAATTTAAGAGAGGAGAACATGAGATACATTCTTTTCAGAGAAGTAGGAACCAACAAACCTGAGATTATAATGATCATTTAAAAGTATGTCTACACCGACTGCTCTTTAGTGTTCCTGCTGGGCCCAATTCTAGAGAGAAGCTCGATTATTCTGAGTGGGCCCTTGATACGTCTAGTATATCCTCCCTTGCTTTACTGAGTACATAGTTGAGAATCATAGACTAATGGTAATTTTTCCTGTTTAAAGGAATAATATGAGCAGAAACAATGCCTACTGTTTTGTTTTTATTTTGCTCCTTTGATAGCTTTGTTACAACTAAGTTATTTTGTTGCCATTACTATTTCATCGTTAAAAATAAAGTAGGTAGTTTGTGTTTGAGTTAAATTATAGCACACACCTATAATCTCAGCACTCAAGAGGCTGCGGCAGGAGGATTGCTGTGAGTTCAAGTCTAAACTGCATAGTGAAACCCTGTCTCAAAAAGATATAATACATTAAAAAGTACTAATTACAGGTTAAAAAAATAACCATTTTTTAAAGAGAACCAATCACTGCCTTCCTATCGAAGAGGGTTCAAATGCCCTACACCCAGCCATGAAGTAAGACTCTTCGGGACTGCTCTCAAACAATCTTTCAACCCACTTCCTACTTCTTTCTCTTTCAGAAGCATTCTGCAGGCCTAGCTGTTCTCAAGCTGAGGGATGCTGGTGACTTCCATCCTACAGTTCCTGCAGCCCCTAATATTTGCTGGCACCAGCTACGCACTCTAAAGCTTAGCATTTTGTCAGAATTCAAATGTTACCTTTTCTTGAATCTTTGCTGATCTCCTTTCCCACTTCCACCATGAAGTATGAATTGCCTCTTCAGAGTCCCAGAAACACTGCCACAGTCAGTCATTGCTTCATAACACTCATCAGGTATCTTCCGTGTGATAGACCATGCTGAAGCTTGGATTTGGGAAATAACGTCCAAGACTGCTGAATGTGTCTGTGGACAAAGTTACACAGCTGATAAAATCTACACAGGGCTCCTCATGTATCATCATCACACCACATATGGGGACATGTTCTCCTACCAGGGCACCAGCCAGCCAACACATGGTGGAAATCAATGACAACAACTTGCATTAAGAGAGATCCAGCCACTTCCCCATTCAAATCTCCAGCCACCTGACCAAGGGTCTAGCTCACACTTGCTTTCATTAAGACAGCAACAGTTGAGTTCTCTCCCAAGATACAGAAAAGGCTGTAAATAGAGAAAGAAAAACCTTCCAATGGTTACATTTAGAAAAGCCTACAATTTTAGATGTTAAAACTCCACAGCAAGATGGAAGTAAAGGGGCATCAATGCCTGGAAGCACACTGTCTGATTAAAGGCAGAGCAACATCACATCTGTCCACAAGACACTGCTAGTCATTTTCACAACTGATGCTAGCTGTCCTAAAGTAACATATTTTTTAGAATGGAGTGCAGTCGTTGCTTTAATTCTGGTTATGATAGGACACACTGCCAGCCAAGTGATCCAGGGCTTCAGCCCACCTCAGCCCATCCCACAGCAGAGTCACCACCTGCTCCTAGCTCATGATTGTTTACAAAATCAATATGAAAAAGTAAAACCTCCTTTGTGATCATATAATTAATCTGATAGCTACCAGATCTGGCATATGTCCAAAACTGCACCAAAAAGGTCTGAAGGCACTTGGTTTAGTCTCAGAGACAACCTGGAAGGCAGAAGAAGATGCTGGCTTTGCCATGAGCTGTGGTAGTCTCAGGCCAGCTCATGCCAGCTCCTGAGCTCATGCCCTAATTAGATAGTGCAGAAAAGATGAGTCAAGAGCAGGAAGCAGTGGGACACAGGTGGAATCAGACACTAGGGCGATTTGCTTGTAATATCTGGAGAATGTGAAAACAGACAGAAAAGCAGACCAGAAGACAGACACTTCATACTCTGAGTATTTGGACCCCAACATAAATTTAGGGCTATTTTAATGATCATGTCATCCAATAGGAACTTGGTATTTCCAGCTTCTCTTACCTGTAGAAGGTACCTTCTATCTGCAATTCTTTACTATATGTAATTATTTCAATTAATCAATCAAGTATTAAAACCTATAGAAGAAATCTACTCCCAAAAGGGAGTTACTATAAACACTACTAAATTATGAAATTCTACAGGTTTATCTTGGAAGTACAAAGGAGCAGAAGCAGTTCATTTTGGAAGTACAAATGAGAAGCCAGGCATGCCTGAAATTCCAAGCACTGGGGAGGATGAGGCAGTGGGATCATGCTGAGTTCAAGGATAGTCTGAACTACATAGTGAGACCCTGTCTCAAAAACAAAAAATGCCAACCAACCAATAACCAAATGTCTTCCTACAGCTAACATTTTCCTTGCAAAAATACTAGTTGTGCAAGGTGGTGCTCATCTGTAATATCAGCACTTGAGAAGCTCAGGCAGAAAGACTACAAGTTCAAGACACTGTTTCAAAATAAATAAAAAGGGCTAAGGGTTCAATCCCCAGTATCACAGTAACAAAGCCACTTTACTATATGCTTATTTCAGTTAATCAATCAAGTATTAAACCACTGTAAACATTTAGCCAAGGTACAAACTTGTAACTCAGTACTCTGGAGGCTGAGGCAGGAGGGTCATCCAAGTTTAAGACCAGTCTAAACAACAAGATGGTCTCAAAAAAAACTAGCAACCTAGAACTTTTGGGAAATTGGTGCTCAAGAAAGTATTTTCCAGATAACTAAAGTTTGCTATTTTAGGAAGCAAACCATTCCTTCTATTTGATTTTTTTGTTTTGTTTTGTTTCTTTACTTTTTTTAAAAACTAGGGATTAAACTCAAGTCTTGTGCATGCTAGGGACTATTTTTGATTTTTTGTTGTTTTTTTTGAGACAGAGTCTCATTAATGTAGTTCAAGCTGGACTATGTAGCCCAGCTGGGCCTCGAACTCAAGGCAATCTTCCTCCTTCAGCCTACCTAGTGCTGGGATTACAGGCACGCGCCACTATATCTGTATTTATTTCTGATTTTTTAAAAAATCATTTTTATATACCTTCCTGTGTTCTTAAAACAAGACAAATTTTTCTGAGCTGAGTTTCATGTATCCCACATCAAATGGCCAGACTGTAGTGTTTTTATAAAAATATCTTTAGGGGTGTGGCTGGAGGTGAGTGCTCAAGGGAGAGTGCTTGAGGCCTGGGTTCAGTCCACAGCATCTGAAAGAACAAAAGAAGCCAACTCTTTCCTACCTTTTAGTTTTGTTAAAGTTACCACTTTTCCTGTGATTATCCTACCAACAGCCCCGCTCCTCTTACAATTTCTTGACTTGGAAACCAAATCACTATGCTATAAAACAAGTAGAGAGTAGGCCTGTCTCTTGGGCAAGATTAATGGAGTCTTAGAACCAAATCCTTGAATATAAAACATCTTAGTTCTAAGCTGTGTTCCCTATGGACCAAATCTGTTAAAACTGGGCTTTACCAATCAAGTTCCATGTTCTTTTGGAGATTCAGAAACTGATGTAGAATATTAGATACCTGAGCTAGAATTTTAAGGGATCTCAAGTCTATAACAATGTTTTACTCCAATCGATAAAAAAATGGAAGCAAAAACACTCCAAGTATTTACTAAGATGTGGATACAGTACAGTAATGGTACATACTTTATTAGTAAGGTGGTTAGTTCAAAGGACTCTAATAGGCCGGGCTATAGCTCAGTGAGAGAGCGCTGCTGGTAGGTTCTGGTAGTCTCAATTAGGACCACAGCTGCAAGTTTTTGGTGAGATAGCCCCTCCCTCCAACTCACATGTCTCTATCCCAGATATGCATCTGGACAGCCCAAAGCCCTTTCAGACTCCTGAGTACATAAGGCAGAGCTCTTTCCTTCACTAATTTTGGTTGTTTTCTTTTTTTTTCCCAGATAGGGTCTTGCATCCAGGCTGGCCTGGAACTTCAGTGACGATCTTTCTGCCTTAGCCTTCAAAGTACTGGGCTTCTAGGCATGTAGCACCATGCTTCGCTCCTTCACTAATTTTTTTCCTGTGACACTATCATTGTGCACAGGACCCATGCCACAAACTGGAAGTCAGTCAGCTTCTCTCATGCACGAAGTAAGCACATCTGTGGGTCACTATCTTTGCTGCTGGCCACTGCTGTTGGGCAGTGTCCTCCTCAATCATATCCTCTGCACAGCAGGCAGGACGGCCTCCCTTTAAAGCTGAAAGAGCCTCAAAAACTGACAGATGAAGACAAAGAAAACAGTATCTCCTAGAACGATAATTGTACCTGGGTGGATAAAAGCAATCAGTATCTCCAAACCCTTCATAATATCAATTCTTTAAACACAAGGCTTCGGAAATGTCATTTGAAATAGACATAACTTCCCACAGGCTACAGAGGCCACAGGAAAAGTGTAATCCTTGATATTTCTACTGAAGATTCAAGTGACCACCTGCCACTTATTCACTAGTAACTTCACTTCAAAAAGCCAAAAGCACTCCAACATAAGCCTTACCCGGTGCTACTTTTGGAAACCAGGATGGGTCCTAACCAGGCAACACAGAGGTGTCTGTGACCAGCTGCTCTTGCTCTCTTTTGCACTGCTCTAATTGAAAAAAGAAAAACAAGGGACTGGGGATTTAGCTCAGCGGCATAAGCACCTGCCTTGCAAGCAGGCAGTTGTGAGTTCGATCTCCGGGACCGATAAAAATGCAAAAGAAAAAAAAAGCGAAAAAAAAAAAAAAAGAAAAAAGAAAAACAAACCAAATGGTAAAAAGCAAATAAAACTTAATCATACTTTTAGGATAAGAATCACACAAAAAAGCTTGAGATCATATTATAAGAAGAAAGGTAAAACAAATACAGCTTGGAGTACAATGAGTGTTGTGTTGTTAAGCATTTAAACAATAAAAAACAAACAAGTAAAGTGACTGTATAACTTACTTACATTTGACTGAGTGAAATGGCCTGCAAATGTCCCTAAGGAGAGCACATGTGGATTTTAGATCAACAATGTTGGTCTTTTCAAAAATTATCTTCCTCTACAGTACTACAATAAATTTCAGAGTGGGGAAGGAAAGAGAGAGAAAGACGACAAACCACAGGAATATTTATGTTTCTTTCAAGTGTAGCTTTAAAGCAAATTACAGGCAGAAGTGTCACAAGTTTGAGACCAGCCTGGACTGTATAGTGAGTTCAAAGGTGGCCTGACCCTACATAGCAAGACCCTGTCGAGAGAGAGAGAGAGAGAGAGAGAGAGAGAGAGAGAGAGAGAGAGAGAGAGAGAGAAAGAGAGACAGAGAGAGACAGAGACAGAGATCTCAAATTCGTACTGAAGTAAAAACACTGTATTCACTAACTGGGAACTCAATCTCTCCCTGTCCTAGTTATATTTAACTATTGAAATGTAAAAGGGGGCCAGGGTGCACAATGCATGCCTAGCAAGTACAAGGTTCTGAGTTTGATTCTCAGTACAAAGCAAAATTTCCATTCTAAAATGTAAGGGTGGGGGGAGTTTCTTATGGTTAAACTTTAGTTCTCCAAAGAGAATATGACATGTTTTTCAAGCTTTACACAATTTGGGAAGTACTAACATGGTACTCAAGAAAATAATTATCCAGGCATAGTGGCACATGTCTATAATGCCAGTACTCTGAGAGTCTCAAGTAAGAAGACTGAAAGTTCCACCCAAGGCCTGGCAATTTCCTTAGTGAGAGCCTGTCTGAAAATACAAAATGCAAAAAGGAAGAGGGGATTGGCTAGGGCTGTAGTTTAGTGCAAAGGTTCTAGGTTCAACCTCAGTACCACCATCACACAAAAACAAAAACAAAATTCATCTTAGTCTGATAAATTCTGAGTATAATTCTAACTTACTATTCCTTCTAACTTGTTTATTCTCCTTCACAGTCTCTTTGGCAAGTCAAAATTATGTTGCAGAAGTTGGCTTGGTTGTGCACACACCTGTAATTCCATCACTTGGGAGGTCAAGGCAAGAGGCCAGCCTATGCTACAAAGTGAGTTCAAGGTCAACTTGAACTGCATAATGAAACCTTGTCTCAAAAATCAAAACAACAAAAACAAACAAAAGATAACAAGAGAATGCTTTCTTGTAATTGACTTCCTTCTCAAATAATAAGTAGCAAAACGCCCCCCCCCTAAAATCACTAGAAAATGTTTTGGAAATTCTCTAATTTAGAATAGGCATAAAATCCTGTATCATTTTTTACAGGTCTCAAAATACAAAGAGCTACAGCTGGGCATGGGGCTGTACTCCTGTGATCCCAGCACTCTGGGTCCAGGCAAGAGGACTCCCCTACAAGTTCAAAGCCAGTTTGGGTGACATAGCTCAAGGCCAGCCTGAACTACCTTGCCTCAAAAAACCAAAATCAAACTAAAAACCAATAAACAAAACACTGCAAAGGCTTTAAACAACATCAGAATGATATGAAACTTCCTCCTCCCTCCCTAAATTATTTACTTGATCCCAACTAAAACTGCAATAGGCTGTTTGGATCGTTTTGTTGTGCTGACTTTTGACCACAAAAAAATTACAGTATTTGCTACCCTTAATCTCTATAGATCATACACCACTATTCCTGAACTCAGAATTCTGCTCTGGAGGTACAAAAAACAAAAAACCAGCATGGCAGTGAAAAGAACACTGCAAGGCAACTCAAAAGACAAGAATCTGCTCCTGCAACCATGCCACTGTTCACCAACTGTTAGATCTAAGGACGCCATGAGCCGTTCTTAAACTCGATTTTCCTCAAGTAGCTGTGCGATGACTTTGTCTGCCTCACGCACACTTCCAACTTGGTGTTTGCCACTCTCCAGTTTTAATTAGGAAAAAAAGTAACATTTTCTAGTTTGCTCATTCCGTTCTCCCACCAACAAACAAGGACTTCAAATGATGTCAAGTGACCCACTCTTCCTCCTCTTCCACAGCTTTATCTTATTACCCAAGGCCTCCTCTCCCTCCCTTCACCATAAACCTCATCTATTAATTCCTCTCATGACCCACTCGAGGAGCCTTTAAGAGACAGCTCTTAACCCCTTTTTGTTCGTTTTTTTTTGTTTGTTTGTTTGTTTGTTTTTGTTTTTGTACTGGGGCTCAAACTCACAACCTTGCACTTACCAGGCAAACGGTTGAGCCACTGAGCTAACCCTTTTCATATCTGGAGCTGACTACGCAGAGCGCTGAATACCCTAGCTGGCATTAGGGTCTCTCTCGCTCAAGGATGACCCGCCCCCGGTACCCTGAGACCCTTCGGGCCGGTCCCTGTACACTTCTCTCGGCTCAGTTTCTCCTGGGTCGAGGCCAGCATATTGCCAGGTTTGTTCCTTCTCTGGAGAAGACAGTTACCTGGCAAAGAGAACAGCGCTAAAGAAAGACGAATGAGAAGGGGTCTTGGGACGCGGCGGACACAAGAGGCTGGCAGGAGAGAACTGGGGCACAGGCTGAAGGCAGAGGTGGGAGATGAGACCATCCCTGTGCTCCCAATTTGGGGAGAGGGGGGGTCCGAGCCCGAAAGCAAGCCGGCTCCATCCCCTCCCCGCCCGGGGCGCTGCAGCGCCTGGTCTGCGGTTAGGGAAGGCCGGGTGGCAACCCCTCCGGCTGGACGCGAGGCGGCCGCCCTTGGCCCTGACTCCAGGCCCGGCCTTACGTGTTGACCCGGTTGAAGCTGGCGAACACTAGCTGGCCAGAGCCAGCCTCGCCGCCCTGACTCGCAAGGTTCATGGCTGCTGCGCAGCCGGTCGCCACTGGCGGCTCCAAACCCAACCGTCCCAAGCCCAACCGTCGTCTCACCTGCGCCCCCCTCAAGCTCTGGGGCCAATGATCGCTGCACGCCTGCGCGGCCACGCCCCCCGCGACGCAGGGTCCCTCAAAGTGCAGACACGCGGATGAGGCTCCGCCCCTCCATCACTGGCCGGAAGTATGGTCCTGGGCTGGCAGGCAGACATGATAGCTTGCTGTGCTGCTTTGGGCACGCGTGTGCGTCCGAAAGAGAGACCCAGGATTTCATCCCCAGCACCAAAAACCAAACCAAACCAAAACAAAACAAAAAAACTTTGAAAAAGACAAACCTCAAAATGATATGGATATATATTTTGTTCCTTTTTCTTTCTTCCTTTTGTGTGTGTGTGTGTGTAGAGCTGGGGCTTGAACCTAGGGGCAATTTACCACTAAGCTATATTGCTAGGCTTTAAATACTTCTTCTTATTATTAATTTGTCTTTTTGAGACAGGGTTTCACTATGCAGTTCAGGCTGGCCTTGATCTCACTTTGTAGTCTAGGCTGGCTTCGAACTTGCAACCATCCTCCTCAGCCTCGTGAATTAAAAAAAAAAAAATTATTTTGAGACAGGATCTCTGTAACTTGTCCAGACCAGCCTTGAACTTCAAATCCTCTGTTTCAGTCTCCTAAATAGCTGTAATTGCAGGTGTGGACCACCACATTAGCCCAATACCACGGTCATACAGGTTGTGAGCCCTTAGTGACACAACTGAGCCTCCAATAGACTATTCTGCCACCCATCTGGGGGAATAGGGCATGTGATCACAGTAGGGAATTCCCAAGGCTTGAGCACATGGCCAGATGTTTCTTCACCTTCATGTAGATCCCTTGGGTGACATTTCAGGGTTAAAAACTGACACCTCCACTCTCACCACACATTCTCTGCCCTTTTTTTGTTATGTTCTCTTTTTTTTTCTTCTCCTTCAAGACAGGGCCTCACTATGTAGTTTATGCTAGCTTTGAACTCATGGCAATCCTCCTGCCTGGCTTCCTGAGACATCTTTGTTTTATATTTTAATATGGGACTTATCACCTTCCAATGCCCTATGATGTCTTCTTTTGACCAGAATGTGAGCTCCAGGATGGCAGTGTTTCTGTCTGTGTTGCTCATTATGAGTTTCTGTGGCCCAGACCTGGGCCTGAAGAACCTCCCCAACCTCCTCCTGACCTATGGTCAAGTGGCTGGGGCTGAGAGCAGCCACCCATGCCTGCACTTTGATTCAGGGCTCTGTCATGTGGGTGTGGAGAGGAGGCCTGCATTCGGCCAGTGACCTGGTGGCCCGTGATTCTGTGGTGCATCCTCATTGTGGCTCCCATGGGGACAGCATGTGCCAACGTTCCTGGTGGGACCAAGAGCAGCAGGGATGCTAGGGAGCTGCCACCATCCCTTCAGGATTCCTCCAGGCAACTCACCTGACACCACCCCAGGTCTCACTTCCCACATGTGTATTCTGCGCTCAGCCCTGCCACAGCTGGACAGTTCACTAGCCTTCCTCCCACAGCAGTCCAGAATAAACTGGGTATCAACAGCAGGTGTGGAGGAGAGGACTCGGCTGTGATAGGAGGCTGTGGGGGAGGGCCCTGAGGGCAGTCAGGCCTTCGGGGGTTCAAATCCAGGCTTGGATTCTAGGTTATGTCCTTACCTGACCTCACACTGATCATCAGTAACAAGGGCTAGAACAACACTTCCTGAGGTTGCTATTAAGGTTAAATTGACAACTGGGTATGGTGGTGCAGGCCTGTGAACCCAGTGAGACAGGACTTTCCGATGTAGGGAAAATAAGTGTAACTCCCAACCTGCTAGTTGTCCAATACGTAGGGTTCATGTTCCCCAAAATTGAAGAATAAATTCTATGTGTTTGTTTGATTTCTTCCTGAGATAGGTTCCCATTATATAGTTTGGGCTAGCCTTGAACTCACTATGTAGCCCAGGCTGGCCTCAAACTGAACCAGTCCTCCTGCCTCAGCCTCCTGAGTGCTGGGGTTACAGGCATGTAAGAATAAATTCTAAGGAATAACAGAGATTAAGGTTAGGAAATTTTATCAAGAGACAGCTCTTGAGAAAGACAGGAGAAGACCTGAGTAGTTTGCTGTGGACCCCACTTTCCAGAGGAAGTTTTATAGAGTAAAATCACAAGGTGGGTAAACAATCATAAATGGGTATAATATGGAACAAAACTATGATCAACCAATAGAGTTGCAAGTATGCCACTTAAGTATTGTTGATCCAATAGGGAAGCAAGTCATGTAGCAACAGTACATGGAAAGAACAAAGAACTTTTTGGAAAGGGATGAGTCCAGCTGAGTGTGATGGTGCACTCCTGTAATTCTAACACTTTGGAGGCTGAGGCAGGAGAATTGTTGCAAGTTTGAGACTAGCCTGGGATACAAAGTGGGCTGAAGTCCAGCCTGAACTGCGTAGTGAGACTCTGTCTAAAAAAAGACAAAAGAGGGCCAGGGATTTAGCTCAGTGGTGTAAGTGCCTGCCTGGCAAGTGCAAGGTCATGAGTTCGATCTCTGGTACCAATAAATGAATGAATAAATAAATAAGTAAATAATAAAGTAAAAAAAAGACAAAAGGAAAGTGTGAGAGGGGAATTGGTCCGAGGGTCTTGGTCACCCACATAGGTGACTGATGTCTATCTAGACTTTGTTTGACCAGGTGTCACCATTATCTATTCCTTGGGGAGGCAAGTAAGCCTGGTTATTCCATCTTTATCTTGAGGTCTGGCCTCCAACAGATGCATCTTGAGGCACAGTTGTAATGTGTTTTCATCTTCTGATGACTCTCATGAGAGCCTCATCCTGCCTGATTGCTAGAATATTTCTAATTCCACTGTCTATAATACTAGCACTCTGGAGGCTGAGGCAGGAAGATTGCCTCAAGTTCAAGGCTGATATGGGCTACATAGTGAGTTCAAGGCCAGTCTGAATTACAAAGTGAGACACTGTCTCAAAACAACAACCAAAAAATAAAGAAGACTGAGCCAAGCTGTAATCCCAGGTGCCTGGGAGATTGAAGGAGGAGGATCACTTGAGACAGGAGTTCAAGGGAGTCTGGGCAACACAGCAGGAGTCCATCTTTAAAAATTAAAAACAGAGGAATGGGAGCCAGCAGCTCCAGGACAGTGAACAATGAAGCAATAGTCTGTGAACACTATAGTCCTCCACCAAAACAGAGAAGACTAAGAAAACATGTCAAACTCAACCTTTCTTGAGCTCTACAAAGTACCCCAAGGCTTTCAGCAATCAGAAGAGAACAGATTCAAATAAAGAAGGTGAGGGCTGGGGATTTAGCTCAGCGGCATAAACACCTGCCTCCTAAGCATGTGGTCATGAGTTCGATGCCCGGTACTGATAAAAAAAAAAAATCAAATAAAGCAGGTGAGTCCCAGGAAAACATGGATAGTGTGGACCTTGAATTTGTCCCAGTGCCATTTTGTTCACCTGGTGATATTTGAATATCTCCTTTTCAGAGGGATGGGTGTGGTGGACAGGTCAATTGAGACTAGTGTGAGGAACAGAAAGAATGAGCAGGCTTCAGAGACTGTGGTACGCTGTCAAACTCATCAATAGGTGCTCCAGAAGGACAAGGAAAGGCACAGAAATTATATTTGTAGAAATAAAGGCAGAAACCATCCCCAGTTTCACTTTTAAAAGAAAATTAGTTGGCATTTCCAAGTTTAGTGAACTCCAACTAGGATAAACTCAGAGATACAATGGACATATCACAGTCAAATAATCAAAATGAAGTGGGTTCATAAACAATATGGGAATCCAAGCAGCCAAATTGATAAATTTAGAATTTAATGAGCTAAGCTCATCGACCACTCGCATGGATCCCTGTTTCAGAGTTCAGCAGAGTGGCCCTGAACTAGAAAGTTATAGAGCTTTTAAAACAGAGAACTACAAAAAGACATTCCGTTGGAAACAATTAGGCTAGAATCTTATATTAAGTTTTGGTTGACACCTTGTCATAGTTTATGTCGGTGGCCCCCAGGCCTCATGCGTTTGCATTGTGGATTTGTGGTTGGTTCATTGTCTAGTGCTTGGCTTGATGGTGTCAGTGCTACCCCACCTACCAGTGAAGCCAGAATACAATGTAATGGCAGGAAAAGGTGTGTCTCTCTCTTTTGCGGGTTTCTGCCTTGCTGTTTGCAGCCACCAGGGTGGCCCCACCATGTCACCCTGCCTTGGAGCCAACTGAGTATGGACTGAAATCTCCCAAAACTATAAGAAATCAACCTTTCCTTTCCCAACTTTGGGCATCAGGTATTTTGTCTCAGTGATGAGTAAAAAGTAACTTAGACACACCTGTATCCTGCTTCTTTGTTGAGCAGGTTAATTTTTCTCCTGTGGGTGTAGTCATTCTTCTTTTCTGATGGGATTGCACTCAGTAATTTTTCATTTTCTCAGTTCAAATACAGGCACTAGTTAAATGCAGGGCTCAAGATGGCATCAGTTATGCCAAGCTACAACAAAAAGGGACACCTGTGAAAGCAGCCAGAAAAACATAACATCACATGCAAGAAACCTTCATTAAAATTCATAGCTGAGTTATCAGAAGGGATGGCCACCAAGTAACACTGTTCCTCAAAAAAAGGATTTTTTTTTTTTTTGAACATTGACTTGCTATTCTAGACTTGAATTCACTATGTAACCCAGACTGGCCTTGAACTCTAGGCGATCCTCCTGCATTGAGCTATAAATCTAACACTTTTGAATTTTTTTGTATGCCCCCCCCCTTTTTGTATATTTCTCTTGAGACAGGATCTTTATTTGTAACCCAGGCTGGCATTCATCTCATGGTAATCCTCCTGCCTCAGCCTCCCAAGTGCTGGGATTACAAGTTTGTGCCAGCATGTCCAGTTCAGAATACTTTTTATGGAGACAGGATCTTGCTAAGTCACTAATTGCCCAGGCTGAGTTCAAACATCTGATCCTCCTGTCTTAGCCTCCCATAGTGCTGGGATACAGGTGTGCACCACTATGCCTGGTTGGTAATTGGTTTCAGTGATGGTGTCCTCTCTAAAATTTATTAGTTTACATTCAAATTTAATCTCTAAAACAAGAATATTAGGATACGTGGCCTTGTTGGCTGAGGTTGTAGATGAGTAGTAAAATATTTGATGAGCAGGTGGGAAGACTGGGCTTGATCCAGAGCACTGAAAAACACAAAGAGGAGGAAAACAAAAAGAGGAGGGAGAGAGAGAGAGAGAAAGAGAGAGAGAGATACAGAGAGACAGAGAGAGAGACAGAGAGAGAGACAGAGAGACAGAGAGAGACAGAGAGAGAGAGAGAAAAAAGAAGAGAGAGACAGAGAGGAGAAGAGAAGCTGGAAGAGAGGGAGGGAAAGAGACGTGTGGCTTCTGGAAAGTGATTCTGTCACAGGGCAGAGGTACACGGACAGTACCTTCTGGAAAGGCCCCAGTGGAAGAGACCCCCCTGCCCTTCCCTCTTCAGCCAGCAAGTGGGAATAGCCTAGTGCCATGTTGGAAGCAGACAGCAGCCCTCAGCAGACACTGAATGGTGATACCTTGATCTTGAATTCCCCAGCCTCCAAAATGGAGACAGAATGATTTGTGTCCTTTACAAATTGCCAGCCTTAGGTGTTACAGTAGCACAAACAGGCTCATACCATATTGCTGGATACCAGCTATATGAGAGATCAATGTCTTCACATCCTTTCTGTAGAGTATTCTGGTGCAATAGAGGAGCAAAAAAGTACAAAATGAACAGATTTATTGAGTTGAGGGCGAGGAAAGGAGCACACAATCCATGGCAGCTTGGCTGTCTCCTTTTACCAGACACAGAGAGGCAGAGGGTTATAGGACCTCTGATTGAAGTGGCACATGGGGTGGATATTGATGGCGTGTGAGGAACCAGTTGGAATTCTCTGTGCATTCAAACAGGAAGGGGAGTTGCAAGTAGGGCTGAAGAAGAAGAAGAAGAAGAAGAAGAAGAAGAAGAAGAAGAAGAAGGAAGCGGTAAGTGTTTCCGCTTTGGCCTTCAACCACATTAGACCACTGTTATAACTCAGGCCCCGGTATAAAATCCAAGGAAGCAAGAGACCGAAAATTTAGGTAGCAAAGGCTTTATTTCCAGGCCTGGTGATGAGTCTCCAGGAGCCAATTTGGAGACTGCCCCCAGAGACTGAAGGGGGGACTTTAAAAAGAGGCTGGAGGAAAAGCGGGGGGGGGGGGGACAAAGAAACCTGCAGAGCCATCAAACTTGTTGACCCGAATCTGGAAACTGTATTGCTGTCTACTTAGCTCTGACAATCTCAGGAGTTCCTGGTGTTTTTTAAATTACTCCCATCCTACAGACTGACATTATCTCTGAGTGGCACATCTGCAGCAATATTTGGAGAAGAAAGTGGAGAGTTAATTATCCCAGGACAATTCGTTTTCACTAGTGGGTGCAAAGGGGTCAAGGGTTACAAGA